TTCAGAGTGTTCTTAAGATTTTTTTCGTTTCTTTTGCTATTGGGAACGCACTTATGGGCTGGGCTATTGTTTCATGACTGAACCACCTACTATCCGTACCATTTGATCGCGGGAACTGTCTTTGAATGAAAGCGGATCATTGAAAAACTCTGAAAAATACAGATGATTCGTTTCGGCTCGCCTTGAGACGAACCATCGCCTATCAGAAGCTGACTTAAAGGCACGCTTTGCGTTCAGAAACGGTGAGCTGCGCGGTTCAAGCATCGATGATAAGATGGTAAATAACACACTAGTCGAAAAAAAGCAGAAAAACCCTTCCAAAATGCCTATATCGAACCCCGTCCTGAGCCGCGCTTGCACGTGCTGGCGCCGTAGTCTCACCGTTCGGAATGGAGAGAGCTTGTAGTGGAACAACTGCACCACGAGGAAGCCATTACATAAGAAAGTTGGGTGTTAGGGTAGTCAGTGGGTGGAGCGGTGGCTTCAGCGCCAGCGGGTCGTGCTTCTTTCACGTATTTTGGAGCTGCGAAGTAGTACGTCCTGTATGCTTGCGGACAGAACTACCAGATGCACAGCAGGCGTCTGTACATTAAATGAACGTGGACCGTGCCATAAGTATCGCTAAGTCAGTGGCGAGTCTAGTATCTACATCTGACAGGAACCCTGGCCTCCGAGGAAGAGTATGTGGCAAGAGAATCGTAATTCGCCGCACCGTGGCGTCGCGTGCGACGTCGCGCCCGCTAATGACGACGATTTTAGGTGGTATTGGTCGAGAATAGACAATGTATGACCAAAAATAGACATATGTCTACCATGTCCTTGTCTACATGAAATCCGATGCTCCAGTCGAAAGGGTAGTGCAAACTGAGGAAACGTCGCGCCCATTGCCGCGCGCGACGAAGCGGCAATTTACGATTCTCTTGCCCGTCTCCCGAGGACGACGGCCACGTCGACACGTTAAGCCAGTTGAATAAGACTTCCCACCTACTAAGACACACTGCAGTACATTACCGCCAGCAACTTTCGCAAAATGACAGCTTGCAACGGATTTATCCGTCGGCTTGTCATAATTTCCCTATCCATGACCACAAAGAAGTTCTCTCGGCTCCAGTGAAAAAGGGAAGTCTCAAAGATGTTGACACATCAGTCTTGTTTGCTGGGATGCTTGGGCGTGTCAGGATGCTGGGTAGCGCCGCAGCAGCCCGTTCTTCTCCACTTACACCCATCGGCCGCGAAAAATTATGGAAAACCCTGCAGAAAAGTGTCTTTTTCTCTCTTCTTAATCAATTTTCGTACTCAAGAAAGGCAAACACATCGTATTATCCCTTTCGAACCACTAGTAACTGACGCCACTCCAAGACGGGAGTTGGTGGCTGACACAGCAAAACCAAGGTGTCACCGTAAAATCGCAGTTTCAGAGCGGTTGCTTTTCAGGATTTGGAGGGCAAATCATAAGCACTGGAAGAAAACCACACAGTGAAGCAGAGCCTACGAATCCGTCGATTGCAGCGACTTCAACAATTGCGCTCTGATCGCACACTTGCGCCCCACCGATGTTTGTGGCCTTTAATTTACCGTAGGAATGACGGTTAGGAATGACGGTTATTCCTTCTGAAATTGTGAAGTGTTCGTATGTTTTCACTTGCCTTCGTGCTTTTGATTGAAGTCCTCAGGTAAAATGAAAATAAACGTCAGATTATGGAGGAAAGATTTACTTTACGGCTTCAGCAACTTCGCTTGCCCGCTATTAAAAGTAAGTATCTTTGCACCTGCGCTAGTGCGCTTAATTTAACTGTTTCACTCGTTTCGTGTGAAGTAATACCAAGAGACATATACCTTTCTCGTGAGTATTCTTCTGTTGACTTTGCCAGCGTCAGTAACTTTACTGTGTGAGGTGAGGTGATTTGGAAAGCCTTGCTCTGACAGTTTTTGTCATTAAAAATGCGTTTTTTGCTCCTCTGCTCAGTGATTTATGTCCTTCTCTGACGATTCTTGGTTCGTTTCATTACTTGTTGCCATCGCTTAATTGGTGGCAACTGGGTTTGAGAGTCTGTTCTATAGAACACTGGAGGGTTTCTTCGTCATGAGTGGAAATATTTCTTTACGGAATCGCAGAACCTCATTTCTCACCTTGGTGACTCTTTTTCAATGAACTGTTTCAGTAGTATGAAAATCTCGAAGCCGATGTGTCAAGATCTTACCTTATGTCTTGAGGAACCGAAAATTACGTATTTGGCCATTCTTCGGGGAATTCGCATTATTATAGAGTTCTTTTTTCGTTACATCTTACTATGGATTCAGGTATTGTGATCAATACATGAAATTGTACCCTCTAAGCAGAGGGACCCTAGACTTTATTACACTTGATATCGTCGCAGTCAGTCCGGGCTATTTCAAAGGCATGGAGTGAGCCCTTCCGTGGCGTTTTCACCACTGGTCGTTTTCTTCCTAAATCGGTTATCAACCAATCACATTCTTGGAGCAAGGCAGCCACAGCAGGCCGGCTCTCACTGCCCCGACTGGTGCCTTTCTTCACGCTCTTCCACTCCAGTTATCGGAGAGGAGAAAGGTCTATTTCCAGTCAGAGTCAGAGTTTTCAGAGCTTGCGACTGTGAGATACGTATCGAATTAGGAGAATGAAAGATTATGAACAGTCTCCTGTTGTCCGGGAGCTCGACACGTGCCTGTCCTCCACCGCAGAAATTACTCCACTCCTGAATTAGGGAAGCCGTAGCTGCGCACTTCATTCGGAATGGCATGTCTTTCCATTTAGGACAATTGTCATCGTTTCTTGATTTCTATATGTAGCTACACCCATCCCGTCCACGGTATGGAGTGTAATCATTCCAGCATGTTCTTAACCGTCGCGAAGAAAGAAAGCCGTCTGTAGCGCAAATTCTGGCTTTTAATTCTTTTCCATAAAGGGCACTTTGCTCTTTGTACGACATATAATTTGTCTTTATTGGTACTGAATTCCGCTACTTTTCTGATGTTGCTGTGATCATTTTCTAGACCAGCTCGTTTTCCTCCGCGTAAATTATGTCTATTTTACCAGTTTCATTAATAAGTTGCTTATTGGAGGTACTCATATGGCGGAGTATGACTTGACAAAACGCATGGCTCCGTTCTTTGATCTCCACTTGATCATCCCTCTCTTGGAGTTCATCGAGCCTCGTAAGGTGAGATACCTCTATTTTAAACTCTGTTTTATCACTGCTGCTCAGCACCGCAGCTCGTGCTCCAATGCTTCTTGGAAGAATTTTGAGTTATGGGCAAACCTTTTGACCTCAGGCGTTCTTGGAACCCGCACCGCGTTTTCCGTCCGAGTGCGCTATCCTTATGCCACCAGAGTGCTCCTACCTCCTCAGGCTTTTAGACCGTAGCCTTACGGCGTCCTCACGCCTTACAGCTAAAGCCGTCAAGCATAACAGGTAGGAGCGGCCCTGGTGATTTAAAGGATACGCACTCGCCCGGAAAGCTGAGGGGCGGATTTGAGTCCCGACTGGGGTCAGTACTTTTGCCCATAACTCAGCACTCTTGTGATACCTCTTTTAGCGTTTTTTTTCCAGTCATCTACTTAAGTTCTTTCCTTTAGATATACGATGATGCATCCCTGGTTGAAATGCATCGACACGTTCTTATGAAGACGAACATGATTGACAGTTTGACGGAAACCTATCAAGGGCAGCCGACTCCAAAAGAACTCGAGACCAAAAGAGCAGAAGTTCTTAAGGAGAGGGACATTCTGAAAGCAAAGGTTTGTCTCAAACTATCCTCGAGATGCATTAGGAGGAGTAGCGCTCCGGAACTGCAACCTTGAATTTTTCCAGGTCGACCCGGTCATCGAGATTCTTGAACTGGATGATGTAAAGGAATTGATGGAGAGCACTAGGGATCGAGACGGAAACAACAAAATACTCGACTTCCTTCAACAAAATCACAACGTAAGCCTTCCATAGCTTCAAGCGTGGATAAATATCCTTTTGAATATTTCTATTTTAGTTCCAACTTGACATGATCGATGCTCTATTCAAGTATGCGAAGTTCATGTACGAATGTGGCAACTACACGGCCGCATCGGTTCGTTGCTGTAATTTTTTTCTCATTTTCTTTCTGATCGTGAAGACATTTTGGGTGAAAGCTGCAGATCACAAATCCGTGCCTTGGCTCTAGTGATGGGTACCTCTGAGAAAAGCTTTGGGTAATTGAAAATGCCTGAAAAGGTCTGCGGGTGATATCCTTCGTTTGGCATCTTATGTGAAGTTCTAATCTTTGGAAGTCAATAGGACTTTTTTGGGGCATGAGCTCTGCTGTTTCTTAAATAGATTTGATGTGAACTTGAATTTCTTCTTTCAACTGTGAGAATAGTTGGTTATTGGTTATACCTCGAGTAAGGGTGCTCTTGTCAGTCATCCTTCAGATATCTGAGTGGAGACGGCCGTGCCTCGCTTATTCGCCCAGCTCCGGTGACCCCGTCTTTCTTTGGTGTTATCACTGAATTAAGCTCTACAGCGGGGAAACTGAAGGAGCGGCGGACCAGGAGAACGCACGCTAGCGGCCGTTAACCGGAGTCAATCGGTTTCCATCTCCTTCTTTGGTGCGCATTATCCCAAAACGTCAAATCTCAAGTTTTCTTATTATTCTTTCCTCGGATCGATAGTTATACTTGGCGTCTATTCTTCGAAAATGCCGAATTGCCAAATCTTCAATTCTCTTTCTCGCATTCGTAGTGCTAACTGTTAAGGGGTTGTGGAAGCACCAACGGGGAAGTCAGCTTCATTAACGGTGTTTTCTATTTTGCAGGTTTGATGCTTCTGTATGGAAAGCTAGCAGCGAAATTCTACCTCCAGGTATTCATGTGTGTGGAGTAAATCTGTTTTAAAATTTTGAAGGCTGAGTTCCGGTTTTAATCTGGTGCGGCGCTACTCAAATTCCATCAATGACTGCCTGCCCTAGAGGCATGAGCAAGAAACGAGCCGGCGCTGCGCCAAAATGTTCTTGTACAAGGATGCCCCCACATGACGCATCGATAGCGCTTACCTTTACCGTAGCTTACCTACTTTCTGCCTTTCTGTTTCTAGGAGTGGGATCATGCTCGAGATGATTTGGTCAAACTTCGTGCCTATATCGACTCCAATCCATTCGACACCGAATGGGAATTGATTCACCAACGGAGCCTGGCTTATGCATTGGGCTCTTTTTGTCTATTTCAACTATCCAAAGGGACGCGATGATATTATTGAAATGTTCCTCAATCAACAGACATATCTGAACACGATCCAGGTACCAGTTTTTTCCCCAGCATGTTGTTAACTCTTCAAAATATATGTCCATGCAGGTGATGTGCCCACATCTTCTACGCTACTTGGCTGTGGCAGTTGTTACGAGCAAGAATAAACAAAAGAATAGCTTGAAAGACCTTATCAAAGTCATCGATATCGTGAGTAAAGAATACCGGTTTACGTGGTACTTTTCTCTCTAGCCGGTATGAATTTCAGGAACGCCACAACTACCAAGATCCCGTCACAGATTTCCTCACATGCCTTTACATAAAATATGATTTTGATGAAGCTCAGGAGAAGCTCCGACAGTGCGAAGAGGTGACT